GCGTCGCTAGCGCGGCCCGCCGAGCGCCTAGGAACCGGGCGCCTGGGCTGAGCTGGTGACTCCGGAGCGGGCGGGGCCATCCGGGGGTCACCCTTCTCCTGTTACGAGGCGGGGATTCCGGGTGTCGCCTCAACTGATAGCCCACAGTTGGCCCCCAAACTTACCCGTTGGACCACGTTGACTGAGAGGAGGAGTGCAACTTTTAATTACAGTGCTAAAAGCATACGTTCAGTATCACAAATTGTCACAGATGTGAGATGTGGGCGACACATTTCGATTTGCCTATTAAGTCAACTTTGTATTTAGACATGTATATAGAAAGTGCTTTTTGTTGGCAAGAAATGTTGCTTTTACGTATTGGAATTGGCGATTTGGAAAGGTTAAATTGTTTAATGGAGCCACAATTGGTTCAGTGGTTGAATTAAGATGTACAGACCTTTGGTTTAAAATGGAAGTCTCATACCCTACCTAGGGTACTAGTTGAATTTAGCTCGTATTTAACCTATTTCACCCAAAGAAGATAAAATTTTTGTTTAAAAAGAAACTTTACAGAATACTGTTTTATAAAAGAAACTTTTAAAACTATAGCAATACATGGAGTAAAAAATATAGATTTCACTCAGTATTCCATTGATTCAGAATCTGAGTTTTCAAATAAATTTTGGCTGAGAGACTAACACTGTATAGAAGAGTTCACAGCATATACTGTTGTAGAGCTGAATTAGATGTTGACCCATTTAGTTAACTGATTTTAGATAGCTTATTTAATATATGATAGACCCCTAATTTCATCTGTAAAATGGCAAATAATGTTTTTTCTTAAGGGAACGTTAAGGATTACAGGAAAACCTATATGTACCGTGCCCGTTTTCAGAGTGCCTTTGAGGAAGTGGGTTTTCCAGAGCTGCAATTTCTCCTTTCCTGGTTGATGTTGGCTGTAAGAGTAATTGCGTTAATAATTCTTTATAAAATAGTTAATTTTAGGAGATAACTATTTGGAAATATGCTTTGCATTTCAGAATAGGTTTTTATTGCGTCTTGAGTCTTGCCAGATTTGCTTCATGTATTTTGAAGCTCTAATGGTGATACACATTCAAATCCAATGTCTTCTAGGTGGGTTGTCCTTTTTTTTTAATCTTACTGAGTTTATAAGTACTTTTATTTATTTATTTATTTATTGGGTTTTTTTTTGAGACAGGGTCTCACTGTATAGTTGAGACTGACCTGGAACTCACTATGTAGCCCAAGCTGGTCTCCAAGTCACAGCGATCCTCCTGCCTCAGCCTCCCGAGTGCTGGGATTACAGGCATGTGCCACCATGCCTGCCTATAAGTACTTTTAAAATATGCAGTACAGTTACATTCATCATTGGAATCTTTTAACTTTGCATGACAGATCTTGGTTCTCATTTTTTCCCCATATCCCTGCCTTCCCTTCCACCCCCTCCACCCTCCCCTATTTACAAAGACTTTGTTTCCATATTTTTCTTTTCTCATATTTTTTCTTGTCCCTTATTTCCTTTCCCCTACCCTTCCCACTTCCCCTACACAGTTAGCCCTTTTCTTCATATTTACCCTTATCAGTTATACAGTAAATAAATTTGGATCTTATTTACACTTTTAGTTTTTCACACCATAGAAATTTCGGTATTTACCTGTGTGTCTTATTGTCCTTTTTAAATATACTATCTCACTTTGTCATGATTTTCTTTACTCCGAAGTTTTACCACTCATGCTATTTTTTTGGATCTAGGTTTTCATACTGTTTTACTGCTTGTCTGTGTTTTAGAATTTGAAGTGATTTCTTCTTGGATTGTGATTTTAATCTACTCTGCCAAGCTATTATTTGATTGGTGACATTTAAATTTGAGGTACTTATTATTGATATGTTAGAACGTTAGCGTGGCATTTTATTGTTTTGTTTCTTCAGATTCTCATTCCCATGTTTCTCTTCTTTTGCCTTTGGTGGTGGGGGCAGTTACTTGAACACTGTTTTGTATCGGTAGAGTTTCGAGCATCTGTGCATAGTTTTCAAGTGTTTGATCTGGATGTCACAGTGTGTTGGTATTGGGATTTTACTGTTTCCAGTGAAGCCTGGAAGTCCCTTTTCCATTTCGATCTCACACTTTAAATGCCATGTTCTGAGGACTGGATTAGATGGTGTTAGAATACAGTTCAGTCATCAGATATTGGTAAAACTCATAATTATAAGGATAGTTTCTTGCATGTACCTGTATTTCCCTTTTGCACTGTTTTTTCTTCTTGATATTCCAAAATTCTGTTTCCCTTCTTTATAAAAAACTTTCTATAACTAATCTTTAAATTTCTGTCACATAAGAGTGTCTTCATTTTCTCTCTCTCTTTTTTTTTTTTTGGTATTGGGGATTGAACTCGGGACCTTCCACTTGCTAGGCAGCACCACTGAGCTAAATCCCTGGCTTCATTTTCTCTTTACACCTAAAGGGAATTTTGTTGGATTAGAATTTCTGGTTGCCAGTTCTTAGCACTTGAAAAATCTGCCTCTCCCTTTTTGCTTCATGAATCCACTGATGAGGATTCCACTGTCACCCAAGTTGGTTTACAGTATTTTGTAGGTACTGTGTTCATTTATCTCTAGCTGCTTTTCAAGCTTTTTCTTTGTCTTTGGTTTTCAGAAGTTTAATTTTGATATGTCTTATAGAGATGCCTTTGAGTTTATCTTTTTTTGGTACTTATTAACTTTTTTGACTCTTGGTTTTTATCTTTCACCCAACTTAGGGAGATTTTAACCATTATTTCTAAAACAATACTTTTGTTTCTACTTGTTCATTATCTGTTCGTATCCATGATATGAACACTGGATCTTACGTTAATGTCATATCAGTAATTCCCTTGGGCCCTTTTTTCCCCAGTCTTTTTTTTTCATTGTGTTTTTAGATTATATAAGTTTTATTCGTTGGTTCTCAAGTTCACTGATTCTGAACTCCATGATTTCTTTGTTATTGAACTCGTTTGATATTGTTTTATTTCTGTTCTATTTTTCAGTCTTACAATTTATTTATTCCAGGAGAATTTGTATTGATTGCTAAAGCATTTTTTGGTCTGATGCTTTAAAATACTTTTCATGTAATTCTATCATCTCAACTATTTTAGTGTTAATGTCAGTTGATTGTCTTTTCTAATTCAAATTGAATGATCTGGTTCTTGCTGTTACTCATGGTTTTTGATTGTATCTGGGAATTTTGTATGTTATGTTAGGAGAATTTGAGTCCTATTTATATCTTTTATTTTGGCATGTTGAGATTTAGTCCCATAGGTCCCAGCCTACTTTTGTGGTCTCTAGTTCGATGGCAATGTTATGATCTTTGGTTTCCTTTTTTACATAGTGCCTGTTCTCCTGATGGTGCAGGAGGGGGAAAAAGATTTTCTCAGGCCACGTCTCTTTGTGTAAGAGTCAGAAGTATCAGTCCCCTGGAATTCAGAGACTTCTTTTCCTAGGTACTGGTTGTGGCTGTGTTCCTTCTCTGGTAATATCGATAGTACAGCTGGATCTATGGGATACTCCCCCTTCTCTCACCTGAACCTGACCACCTCAGGGGCAAACCCCACAGGGCTAAACCCTCAGACCTTTGTCCTGGGGCCTTTTGCTTGGAGGCAGAGCTGGGAAAGGACAATTGCAGTGGAAATGAACTGACTGAGTACCCTGTCTGCTGTGTTGTCAATCATGCTCTGAAAGACTGAGCATTTCAAATCCTTAAGCCCAACTCATTGAGCACATGTCTGTACCATTTTCCTTTCCACTGGTATGAGTCTGCTCACTCTGAGCCTAACTTTGCCCTTTAAACTTCAGTAAACTTAGCTGCTTTTTCTGTACCATTGAAGTGGTCTCAACTGAACTGTTGTGTTGACTCAGTATTGTAGTACTGTGCTTAAGTATTGTAACTCTTACTTTACTTCATAATGGTCCCACATTTTATTACAAGTATATTGTTGGCAGTTCTGTTGTATTGTTATAGTTTTTAACTTATTACTATGCCTAATTCATAATTTATATAATAGGTATGTATGTATAGGTAAAAATTTGAATATGTGGGGTTAAGTACTGTCTGTGGTTTCAGGCATATTGGATTTGGGGATGACACTTCTTTATTTCTTTCTGGCTACATGATTTCTGATGAGAAATCTGATGTCAGTTGAATCATTTGCCCTCTTCAGGTAGGATGTCATTTCTTTCTTATTACTTGAAAGCTTTTTTCTTGTTACTTAGTTTTCAATAGTAACATTATTATCGGTTTTGCATGGATTTCTTTATACTTACTAGTTTGGGGTTCACTTAGCTTGAGCCCGTAAGTTTGTGTTTGTAAAATCTGAGAAGCTTTTTGCTATTTGAATACTTTTTGAGCCTCTGACATCTCTTCTGTGTCCTTCATGACACCATGTCTTTTATTGAGGCCAATCTAGTTCCTAAATTTCCATACATTTGTTTGAAATTCATTTACTACTGGGCAATTTCTATTCTATCTTCACGTTT